AAAAGTTACCAGAATATCCCACGTACAAAAGAAGGGAAATTGCTCCTTAAAAGCACCTTACTAAGTGGAACAGTAAATAGAGCAAGTGCCTATAACAAAGGGCCTAAACCCCAGTTTTGCATTTATCATTCTACCCAAGGACCTGCTCAAAATGAGTAAGGCACAGTACCAGGTTCCAAAGGACACAAAGTAATAGAAGGCAGTCACACAGATCCTAAGGTAACTGGAGAAACTAGTTATAAACAGATGAGAAGTCACTGAAGACCTCATTAATGGAATGAGATTTAGCTGGATTTTGAAGAATAGACGGGATATGAAAAGGAAACAGGCGAGGCCAGCCCGGTGGCATAATGGTTAAGCTCACATGCTACACTACAGCAACTTCGGGTTCACGGGTTTGGATCCTGAGCACGGACCTACACACCACTCATCAAGCCATGCTGTGGCAGCACCTCACAGAGAAGAACTAGAAGGACATATAACTGGGATACACAACTATGTATTGGGGCTTTGGGGAGGAAAAAACAAAGAAAAAAAGAGGAAGCTTGGCAAAAGATGTTAGCTCAGGGCCAATCATCCTCACCACAAAAGAAAAAAAGAAAAGGAGACAGGCAAAGAGTTCATAAGTAAAGGCCAAAGAGCAGAAATAAACCAGGTCTGCATGAAATACAGATCCCAGTAGAGCCATGAGGAGAATTTTTGTAGAAAATTCCCTACACTTCTTAATGTTTATAATGTTTAGGTTTTATGAATACAAAAACATAAGGTACTACAGCATCTGCCTTCAAAGAGCTGACAAAGTAGTGAAGACAGATACACAATCAAAATACATTAAGTAGAGATATATACAAAATGCTTTAATAACACAGAGAAGGGAGTAAGAACTTACCAGAGGAATGAAACTGTCAGTAAATTTTCAACAAGGATATTTGAATAATCTTTAAAAACTGAAAATCAGGGTGTGGGAGTAGGCAAAATGGGTGAAGGAGGTCAAAAGGTACCAACATCCAGTTATAGAATAAATAAGTCACTGGATGTAAAGTACAGCATGGTGACTATAGTTAGTAATACTGTACAGCCTATCTGAACTTGCTAAGAGAGTACATCTTAAAGTTCTCATCACAAGAAAAAAATATTTTGTAACTATGTACCATAACAGATATTAACTAGACCTACTGTGGTGATCATTTTGCAATACATGAACATACAGTTACCAAATCAATAGGCTGCACACCTGAAACTATTATATGTCAATTATACCTCAATTAAAAAAACACAAAAATGACTTTACCAATTAAATTCAAGTCACAGAAAGAAAAATGCCAAAATTTACTGAACGCTTACTACGTATTAGACACTTTCTTTCACCTTTGAGATAAGTATTATAATTAACATTGTTATTAAAAAGGAAACTGAAGTTCAGAGAGTTTTATTAACTGACCCAATATAAAAAAAGCTAATTAGCAGTGAGCCTGGCATTTAATCCCAGGTCTGTCTGCTACTGTAATCCACACCCTTCCAATACTACTCAGCTCTGGGAATTCATAAGCACTCAAATTATGAATATAAGGTACAACACAAATATTACAAAGTCAATCTCTCCACCAGAAAATACTAAAATGTTCAAGGGCCAGAAAGAATGAGAGTAATGTGGCTAAGATTTTCCAATATTCTTACGAGCCCCTGTGTCTACGATTAGTGTAAATTCTTTACAAGGGGGAGAGAAATGTTACCAAGAAACTAAGTTCAGGGGCCGGCCGGGTGGTGCAGCGGTTAAGTGCACATGTTCCACTTCAGCGCCTGGGGTTCGCCAGTTCGGATACCGGGTGTGGACATGGCACCACTCAGAAGGCCATGCTGTGGCAGGCGTCCCACATATAAAGTGCAGGAAGATGAGCACAGATGTTAGCTCAGGGCCAGGCTTCCTCAGCAAAAAGAGGAGGATTGGCAGCAGTTAGCTCAGGGTTAATCTTCCTCAAAAAAAAAAAAGAAAGTGGGGCTGGCCCCGTGGCCAAGTTCGCACGCTCCGCTGCAGGCGGCCCAGCGTTTCGTTGGTTCCAATCCTGGGCACGGACATGGCACTGCTCATCAAACCACGCTGAGGCAGCATCCCACATGCCACAACTAGAAGGACCCACAACGAAGAATATACAACTATGTACTGGCGGGCTTTGGGGAGAAAAAGGAAAAAGATAAAACCTTTAAAAAAAAAAAGAGGGGCTGGCTCCGTGGCCAAGTGGTTAGGTTCGCACGCTCCGCTGCAGGCGGCCCAGTGTTTCGTTGGTTCGAATCCTGGGCGCGGACATTGCACTGCTCATCACACCACGCTGAGGCAGTGTCCCACATGCCACAACTAGAAGGACCCACAACGAAGAACATACAACTATGTACCGGGGGTCTTTGGGGAGAAAAATGAAAAAAATAAAATCTTTTAAAAAAGAAAGAAAGTATGTTCAAGTAGGGACCGGCTCCGGGCCAAGTGGTTAAGTTGGTGCACTCCGCTACGGGGGCCCAGGGTTTCGCCAGTTTGGACCCTGGGTGCAGACATCGCACCACTCGTCAGGCCATGGTGAGGCAGCGTCCCACATGCCACAACTAAAAGGAGCCACAACTAAGAATATACACCTAGGGACCAGCCCCATGGCACAGCGGTTAAGTTTGCACGTTCTGCTTTGGCAGACCGGGGTTCACTGATTCGGATCCTGGGTGCAGACATGGCACTGCTTGGCAAAAGCCATGCTGTGGCAGGCGTCCCTCATATAAAGTGCAGGAAGATGGGCTCGGATGTGAACTCAGGGCCAGTCTTCCTCAGCAAAAAGAGGAGGACTGGCAGCAGATGTTAGGTTAGCTCAGGGCTAATCTTCCTCAGGAAAAAAAAAAAAGAATATACAACTATGTACTGGGGGGATTTGGGGAGAAAAAGCAGGAAAAAAAAGTATGTTCAAGTAGAAAACTTTTGAACCTCTATCACTGCCAAAAACAAAAGACAAAATATTTTAAGTATTAAAACTATGGTCAAGCGACTTACTTGTCACACAACATATTACAGCAACAAAGCAAACTTTCACCATTCAAAAAAAAAACAGACTTAACAGCTCTTACAAACAAGAGAAAGTTTAAAGACAAATAAAATCCGGGAATAATGTTTGGCAGAAAACTAGGACAATGTGGTATTTTAAACAACAAATCTGGAATGCTTAAACAACTAAGTATATGGCATTTAATTAAATATACTTTGATAATGAAGATTTCTAATCTGCAGGCTCCAACTAATTAATATTACTTCATCTAAAAACACTTGTAAAGTCTTAATTTCTTGCTAAGCAACCTCCAAAGGATTACATAAATTCATAAATGAAAAACTTTCACTAATATCTTTGTCGGTATATTTGTCATAGTTATAAAGCTTTACTGTAACCTTACTTTCTTATTCTGACATATGAAAGTTTGAACTTTGGCAATAATCAAAGAACATGTTTTTCGCAAAGTAATGTGAAAAGCATATGAAGTTATTACTTCACAAAGAGAGCTCTGAATAAGCACCTTAAGTGGTTAGTAAAAGTGTAATTAAAGCCCTAGGTCAAGGTAAAACTGACGGCAAAATCTGTTCGTTTAATATTTTTCACCAAGCAAAGAATGAAAGTTAAGCTACAACTTCACAGATAAGGATTTATCTTTTCCTAAAGCTAATATGTAAGGCCTAGTTTACCAAAATTCTTCCCACAAGTACAAAAAGATAACATTTTTCTGTAAATGTCTGGAAAAGAGACTAAAAACGGAACTTCAAGCCTGAAACAAACTCTAATCGATACATTATTCTACCTTCTTCCAGGCAAGGGGACTAACTAAAAAGTACGAAAGTATCTTATGGTAATAAAAGATGGGTGTCAAATGCAATTAAGGTTAGGAAAAGAAAAATGCCAAGGGAACAATTAACATGTTTCCTTTTAACTAACAGCCGCTAAAAGTTTTGTTTGAATTAAAGAGATCCACCACTGCATCACGTGCACAGGCAACCACCACTGCGTGCGCGAGATCTCCAGAGTGTACTTAAGAGTCAACTCAGCGCTCCCAAGAGGGATTCCTCTCAAAACAGGCTTTTGGTTCATACTCTTACGTCTTCCAAAGTTCCTGAACAGTCAACTTAATGTCATCCGTGTAGAAATTATTTAAAAACACTGACAGGCTTTCCACATGTAACCCGTACTTTTCTGATTTGACTTAGATCCAATGATGGAATTCCCTATCGATTCGCCTCCTTCTCCTTTCTTCTGAAGGGCCACTAACCACAAGGGTTACAACCAAATATCAACATTTATTTTATTTTCTTAAAAGAAAAAAACAAGGATGCTTTCTAAGATGCTAAACATCTAGTCGCCGAAAGGCAACTTAAAATCGGAGATGTGGAGGGAGTTACTAAAGGGACAGCGACAGGGAGCATGATCTAAAACAAACAAAATAGAAATGTAACTATTCCAAAGGAGCAGGGTCTTTTGCCTGTCAAGCTGGGGACTTAGTTCTGTTACAAACACCGATTTCATGCCACGATAAGAGCGAGGCTAAATCTTCCGCAGTCTTACAGGTTTCGCATTAACTTCCCGTGACCCCCTCAACCAACCACTCGAAGCCACACTCCATTCCACTCTCGGCCCAACCTCCTCCACTCCCGCCCCAGATCTCAGCCGAACGCGCTTCCCCGCTCCAAACTTCACGTCTTACCCGTGGCTTCCCTACCTACGTCTTCTTGTCGCCACCGGTCCCAAGTCGGGGCCTCAGTCCTACCATGCCCTCCTGTCCTGGCCTGCCTCAGGCCGCCAGCCCCGCGCCCAAGGCTCGGAGCTGCCTCCGAGAGCCCGGCCGACGTCGATCCCCTCTGCTCTTCCGACCCGGCCCCAGGCGCCCCTCCAGGCCCCCAAAGCACGCAACGGCCGAACTTGAAAATGGCGGAGAGCGCCGCCGCCTGCTGCAGGCCAGCGGTCCCGTGCCGCCGCCACACTCACCCTTCGGCGCCGAGCAGAGCTCCTAATGAATGGGGAGCGAAGCGTTCGTCTTCACTGTCGGAGACGTCTCTCCCGTCTGGCCTCCTCCCTCCGCCTCTCTCAATCCCTCTCCTCCAAAGGAGCAGGCGCCATCTTCCTCTGTGAGCCACCGAGCGCACGCCCTTGCGTCATCACGCACTAGCGTGGGGTACTACGTTAAGCGCGCCTGGGCCGCCGGTTGCGTCGGGCTCAATCTGCGCATGTGCCTAGGTGAGAGGCGGGGCCTGGCCAGATCCCCACGCGGCGGAGCCGGGCACCTCCTTTGTTCCCGCTGAGCGCAGGGCTGGGCTGCTCGGGGCAGAGGAACCAGGCGAGCGCGTTCCGCTGTCATGACTCTCTTCACATTGTGAACTAACCTTGGGGCTCTCAAAAACAGCCCGTTTTCTAAAATTTGAATAAGAAGTTTGTTTCGCGGCAGTGCGGCAGTTACAGCGGGTTGTGTGGCCAGGTCACCGAGAGTCAAGGTGTGGACGGGACTCGACGGTCCTGAGATGGGGCTCCCTCCTGACAGTATTCTGAGAATTTAAAGGGAAGCACCTAGCTGAGTCAACCACGCAATTAGAGTTTACTCATTACCCGATGCAATTGGAGGTTATCTCCTTTCCTCACTTAGAGCCAAGAGACCAAGATAGAAAGCTGAGACCCGTGGTACAACCACTTTGGAAAACGGTTTCACAGTGTATACTAAACGCTACGTGCATCCTCACCCTGCGACCCAGCGATTCCCCTCCAAGAGGAATGAGTGCACACGTGCGACGAAGACCTGTGCAGGAGTGTTTATAGCAGCTTTATTCGTAATAACCAAACACGCGTAGCCCAAACGTCTGTCAATAGTTGTATGGGTGAGGGGTGTCATGCAGTGAACACAGCAACAGGAAATTACTGATAAATTCAAGAACCTGGATGAGTATCAAAGACGTTAAATAAAGCACAAAAGAGGACATTGGATGATTCCATTTATATGGAGTTCAGAATACAACTTCAAAACAAGGAAGTTGTCTTTTAACTGTTGGAAAGTAATTTGGCAATATGAATCAAGAATCTTCAAAATATTTATTACTTTTGACACTAATCCCTCTTGTAAGAATCTACCCTAAGGATAGCCTCAGAAATGTGAAAAAGAATTTCGTACAAATCTCTGATTGAGGAGGACCTTCCATTTTCATTTCCAAAAAAATGGAAGTAACTTCAATGTCCAACAGTGGAGAATGGATAAATAATGGCACATCCATACAACAGAATATTATGCAGACATTATCTACACAAAGTTTTTATGATGACATCAGAAATGCTTATGATCTAATTTTAGTGGAAAATGAATATGAACAACTGTAAATATGTATATGTAATGAGAAATAGCTAAGGAAATAAAATGGTGAAATTAAAGATGACCATTTTCTGCAAATACGTATGTTTTGCTTTTGTAATCACTAAGGGGAAAAGGGTCCATTTTTTTTAAAGCAGTAACAGGTCACTGACACTGTTAAAGTTATTATTAAATATGTCTCTCTTTGTTACCAATTACAATATATGATTTCCTGTCGATTACTTAACGTCACACATCATTTGGGGATTCTTTCTCCTTCCATTTTTCCATTTGTTGGGCTAGACTTGGAAGCCACTAGGTGTTATTAATAAATATCAAAACCCCACACCTCCCCCAATATCAAGACTTTAGTCTTCATTTCCTCAATTCCAGGGAGGCAGGGATTATTATAAACTTGGAAGCAACAAAATTTGGGAAAGCAAGAATTTTATTCTATGCTGGTGTTAAAAACAATTCAACTGAGTAAATTTTAAAGTCCTTATTGGCTTTATACAATGATTCGTGAATCGGGCAGCATCCGATCTAGCAGATAGAAAGGAGCTCTGAGGAGCTGTACAAAATGAAAGATTTTTATAGGCAGAAGCAGAAAAAGGAAGTTATGCTAGACCAAAAAAAAGCAGATTGGTTATGGCAAAGTCACTTCCTTTGGGGGATGGCAGATTCCTAAATTGTCCTGATTAGGTGATTCCTGATTGACTGGTTTAAGATTCTATTTCTGGGAAAGCTGAAACTGTAAATTGTCTCAGTTTAATGATGTGGAGTTTAGCATAAGTAACTCCATGGGGCCTGTTGTCTTGTTTTTAACACTAGGATATGTGTGTATGTGTATCTCCTAAAAGAATATGGTGGAGGTGGGAGTGGGAAGAGAGAGACCGGTGGTATGGAAGAACCCATAATTCAATCTACAAACCACTTATTCATGCAACAAATAGTTACTGTCCTGCATTTCTTCTTAACTTCTGGGCACAGAATAAACCAGATCTCAAAGAGTCCCTTGCAGTCCAAGAGATAGACAATTCCAGTTCCATGTGGTAAGTGTAGGATAGGATGGCAGGAGCACTGAAAGAAAGCCAGGATGCAAGGCAGGATTCTCATGGGCCGATTTTGGAAATGGGGTCAGGAAGGCGACCCGAAGGAGTCCACCCTTAAATTGGGTTCTAAAGGTAACGCAGAAAAGTGACAAGCAGGTGGCATTATATTATAGCAACAAGTGGTAGGGAAGGCATTCCAGCATATTAAAGTGTCCCAATCCTTAAAATGTGCTGAATTGGAGAGTCAATCTGATCGTAGGCAAAGGCTATTCACACCTCTGATATCATGGGTCCTGCCAAGAAAATTGTTTCTCTAATTGACAGGAGATAGACTACACGTATGCAAACAGCCATATTCTATATTCTATGGAATTCTACACAAGGGATCCATTGTCTTCAAAAAAATATATTATTAAAAAATAGAGAGACTGGCCCTGTGGCCGAGTGGTTAAGTTTGGTGCACTCCACTTTGGCAGCCCAGGTTCATGGGTTCATATTCCAAATGCGGACCTATACCACTCATCAGCCATGCTGTGACTCCCCATATATAAAATAGAGGAAGATTGGCACAGATGTTAGCTAAGGGGGAATCTTCCTCACAAAAAATAATAATAATAATAGAAGCATGGGAACTGTTATAGATTAACTATTGTAGATTAGAAACGTAAGAGACATATAGCCAAATGCAATGTGTAGCCCTTGTTTGGATCTTGAATTGAACAAACTGACAAGAGGGAAGGAAGGAAAAAGGAAGGAAGGAAAAGAAAGAGAAATTTTTGAGAAAATGGAGACATTTGAACATGGACTGAGTGGATATTAGATGGCATTAAAGAATTGTTCAATTTTTTACCTGTAACAATGGTTTTTATTTATTCGGGGGCGGGGGGCGGAGATTGGCCCTGAGCTAACATCCATTGCCAATCCTCCTCTTTTTTTGTTTGTTTGTTTCAGGAAGATTAGCCCTGAGCTAACATCTGTGCCAGTCTTCCTCTCCTTTGTGTGTGGGAAGCCTCCACAGCGTGGCTGGTGAGTGGAGTAGGTCTGCGCCCCGGATCTGAACCTGTGAACCTGGGCCACTGAAGCAGAGTGCGTGGAACTTTAACCACTCAACCAAGGGGCTGGCCCCATAACAATACTTTGATTAAATTTTTAAAATCTTTTTCTGTTAGTTACATTCTGAAGAATATGTAGGTTAAATTATATAATGTCTGGTAGTTGCTTTAAAAGATTTCAGCCAAAAACAGCAGAAATGCTCAGTGAGGACATCCAGAAAGACTCTCCTCCATAAGAGTAACAAAAAACTGGCAAAAATTTGTCAAAATCAATCTTTTCTGTTTTTCAGAACTCAGGAAACTAATTAAGAGTTTTCAGGGGCGGGCCCACTGGCACAGCGGTTAAGTGTGCACCTTCCGCTTTGGCAGCCTGGGGTTCACCGCTTCAGGTCCCAGGTGCAGACATGGCACTGCTTGGCAAACCATGCTGTGGCAGGCATCCCACATATAAAGTAGAGGAAGATGGGCACGGATGTTAGCTCAGGGCTAGTCTTCCTCAGCAAAAAGAGGAGGATTGGCAGCAGTTAGCTCAGGGCTAATCTTCCTCAAGAAAAAACGAAAAAATTCAAGCTAGAATACTGCATACACAACTACAGGTTTGGCCCTGAAAGCATGCTGGGGGAGAAAAATAACACCGGACCCATGTGAATAGGCCTGGGTCAGAGTCCTGGTTCTGCCACTCGGTGAACCAATGTTGGCTTCCGTTGCCTCCATTGCAATGCCTGTTAGAGAATTTTAGGAGCTCTTGGCAAATTCAGTCCCCAGCCCAGGGTTTGCCCTTTGCTCTGGGCATATGCAAATGCCACTATTAAAGCTTCATCCCATTTGTGTCCTAAATACTTGTCTATCACTGGGAATCCCATTAGTCACATAGTCTTGGTTTCAAATCTTTCCTGGAGTTTACATCTCACCTCTGTAACTTATTGACTGTTTTATACTGATTTTTCTGAGTTTCACTTTCTTCCTTGGTAATGTCAATGAATAAGATGCATAAACTTTGGGACAAGCAAAAAAGTTTATTTGGGGTCTCAAGAATTGCAATTCAGGGGGCACAGATTCAAGTCAAACCCCAAATAGTGTCCTGCTAGGGAGTAACAGTCAGGGGCTTTCAAAAGCAAAGAAGGGAGGTTCATTACAAAGAATTTTAACTGGAGTTGAAGGTAGAGAGCTAGTCTTGGCTAAACATTTGTTGACTATTGATTCTATGTTCAAAAAGCCCAGAATCCTCAGTCTTTGTGATCAGGATGTCCATTCTCCTGCTGACGTCTCAAAGAATTGTTTGCAAAACAATTGTCATTTTAGCCCAGTCCAAAGATTTGGTCTAGTCCAAGATTCCAGACAGCAAGGCAGTTTCTTTGGAAAGGCAGCTCCAACTCCATTTTAAAGTGGGTCCACTACCATCAATTTTGACAGTACAATGGCACAACATGGCTCAGTCTTCAAAGTAAATTGCAAATCTGACCACGTCTCATTTCCACTGCTCTCATTCTAGTCCAGATATGGACAGAATGTGCCTGCAGTCTAGTTAAGAATAGCTCTATAGAAGCCAGACTTGAAAGGCTACATACCATATAATTTCATTTTTATGATAGTCTGTAAAAGGTAGAACTGTAGGGACAGGAAATAGATCAGTGGTTGCCAGGAACTAAAGGTGGGGATAGCAAATTGATGACAAAGGAGCTCCAGGGAACTTTTTTTTTAACATATTTTTTTTTTTTCCTGAGG